CTGACCATGCATTCCCTTCTGTCCCCTTGTTTTGGGATTTTCTTTATTAACTTGGGCCCAATGCTTTGGGAATATTCTCTATGTGTTTGGACATTTATTTTTATATTTTTGGACCCCATGTTTTTTTGGGCATGTTCTCCATCTTTTGGAGATTAATTTATGTACTTGTACCCCATGTTTTGGGGGTGTTCTCCATGTTTTTGGAGATTTATTTATTTACTTGTACCCCATGTTTTTGGGGATGTTCTCCATGTTTTTGGAGATTTATTTGATTAATTGTTCCCCATGTTTTGGGGGATGTTCTCCATGTTTTTGGAGATTTATTTATCTACTTGTACCCCATGTTTTTGGGGATGTTCTCCATGTTTTTGCAAATTTATTTGATTAATTGTTCCCCATGTTTTTGGGGATGTTCTCCATGTTTTTGGAGATTTATTTATCTACTTGTACTCCATGTTTTGGGGGATGTTCTCCATGTTTTTGGAGATTTATTTATTTACTTGTACCCCATGTTTTTGGGGATGTTCTCCATGTTTTTGGAGATTTATTTGATTAATTTTACCCCATGTTTTTGGGGATGTCCTCCATGTTTTTGGAGATTATTTGCAGTTTAAGTTACTTGGTCATCCAGTATGGATGACCAAGTATGGCCAATATGCGGTGACTCGAAAATGTCTGCCATACTTGCCCTGCAAACATTTTTGAATTATCATCGTTTTTCATACGCCCAACGATGATAGTATTTATACAGAAGTTGTACATAAATTGATAATATTTTGTTCCATATATATTATTGTATTTTATACTGTTTTGCAAGTTTTCTTGTTACAGTATGCCACCACGTAAGCAACAACGGAAAAGAGCTGCAACAACAACAATGGGTGGTCTGTCTTCGCGTCGTAGTCATCGCACTTCAACCATCAACGCCACCAGAGCAACACAGAATGCTGCCCCAGCAGTTGATTTACCGCCATTGGCCACACCACAAACATCAACTCCTCCTGTTCCGTCCTCAGGGAATGTTCTGTCGAGATCCTTCAGACTCTGGTGTCAACCGTGGCTGCTGAAGTGGCCAGGCAAATGGCTACGATTCTTCCTGCCCAAGTTCCCAGTCCAGTGCCAACTCCAGCAATATCTGCTGTACCTGTGAGCCATACCGAACCAAGACCGAGTCAGACATCATCATCAAATGCAGCGGAAGTCAATAATTTGGTAACGAGGGCAATAGCTGCGGCTCATGCTGGCATCTCGGGTGAGCCACAGTTATTGCCTACTATAATTTCTCCTAGTACTGCAAGTTCTGTTGAACCTACTCAATTGTTTCACTCAGCCGGTTTGGCTATTGACTCGCGGGTCTTGGCAAAACTCGAGGGTAAAATATGGGATATTGAGTTCTAACGGTGGTCTACCTGCCTCTTTTTGTCTGGAACCTGCGGCCAAGCCTAAGAA